GGCCTCATCTCTTCCATCAGCAAAATCTTTCCCTTTTAGGACTATTTTAATCCAGGGAGACAAAAAGAAAAAGTTTTCCGGGGCAAGGTTGGGTGAATAGGGAGGGTGGGGCATGGGTGTCATGTCGTTTTTTTGTCAAAAACTGCTGAACGCTTAGTGCAGTGTGGACAGGTGCACTAGTAAGTCATCTATTATGAAATGAGCAAAGATGTTGAAAAAATCTCAAAAAATAAAATTACTAAAGCCAAACACAGTTTTTCACAAGTCTAGCTGATGCAGATGGGTTCCTAAAACACTTACCTAGCAAGGGGGCCTATACTACAAGGGGACCATCCTCCAAAAGACAATTCTGTCCCCCTCTCCCACCCCATATAGGTCCGATTTTTGGTTCAAAATGCTTCTGCTACTAAAACAGCTTTAAGCATTACTAAAATATCTTGGTTACTTGACTAGAAATAAGAACAGTGCTATTAAATTGGAAGAAATTAGACTCTCCTCCTAACGATACCTCTACTACTTATATTGCTGCATATGCATATTCAGTTTACTGATAGGAAAATGATAATATCAAATGTTAAAGTTGATGATGTCCCATTAACTTTCACATTTAACTATGAAACTATTAATTACACAAACTTGTTACATACCAGAAGAGTCTAAGAAAGGATATGGAGAAAGGTGAATTTGTTCAGAAAGATAATCCTGATTGTGTCACAAGAAGAACATGTCTCATTACCTGCCAAGGCCACTTCACTCAAAACCCATTTATGGGGTCAGTGAAGCAATTTCACATTTTGACATGCCAGCATATTAATGTTATATGTACTCTACCTTAACTAGTTAAATGTTAAGGATCAGTAGTTTTGCCTTTCAGAGCTATGAAGATAGCCTCTTTGCCTCTAATTTTAAGCTACAAGTTCTTAACTGCAAAACCATCGGAAAACATTCCAATGAGTGACCACCCCAATTTTTAGCTCTCTATTGCCCCTGGCACCTAATTACATTTGAATCCTTCTTAAACGAGTTAATGTAAATATTGGTAGTTGTCTCATCTTTTTACAAGCATATTTGTTTTAAAATTTAATTTCCTTACATATCCACATAAATATAGCACAAAGAGTTAAATTGTAAAATAAAATCCAGAAATAATTTAAAAGCTTATTTGTTCAAGAATTTTTAACTCTCCCCTAACCCACAACCAATCCTATTAACTATCATTGCTCAACCAAACCAAGCCCAATCAACTAAGCAACCAACAACATGAAAACCTTCATCGCATACTTAAGTATACCTAACTCCCTTGCTTTCTACTCAGCTTTGACCTCTGGGCTTTTACACGTGAGTAGTCAGACACAGGCTTTCATCTGAACAAGCATCTAGATTACCTCATTTATTTTAGGATATATAGGAAGGGCACAATAAGTAGTTTGTGAATAAGGAGGGAACCACCCTAACACCTAACATCAGATAATTAAACATTCATTTTGGTTCAGGTGCAAATATACATGTTAGAGATAGACAATAGTATGTGTTCATGTACATGGAGATGTCATATGAAATAATGACTAAAAAGAAGAATACAAAAATAATGTTGAAGCTAAATATGGCAATATCTATCAAAAGTATAGGTGCACAATTCTTTGAATTAGTAATTCTAGTTTTAGAAATTTACCCTTTAGATATAGTCACAAATGTGTGTAAAGCCATATGTACAAACATCTTATTTGTAGTCAGGTTAGTAAAGGCAAAAATTCAAAACCAAAGATACTCAAAACATAAATTTCCATTTGTATACACACACATACACACAAAATCGATGAACATTTATTGCTTGCTTACTATGTGCCAGGCCCTAGTCAAGTGAGTTTTAAAATATCTATTTATCTATTGACTATGGTGCCACAATTATTTAGAAGAATAAATGACTTTTTTTTTTTGAGTTGGAGTCTCACTCTGTCGTCCAGACTGGAGTGCAGTGGCCGCTCCTGGCCACCGCAGTCTCGACCTGCTGGGCTTCGGTGATCCTTCCACCTCAGCCTTTCAAATAGCCGGAACTACAGGCACGCGCTACCACGCCCGGCTAATTTTTGATTTATTGTAGAGATGAGGTCTCGAACCCGCGGGCTCAGGCAATCCACTCACCTCAACCTCCCAAAGCATGGGATTACAGGCTGAGCCACCGAGCCCGGCTGAATAAATGACTTTTAACTGGTTCTGGATTAGGTATTTTGGTAAATTAAGCCTTTAGAATAACATCCACTAATATTGATATTATAACATTACCAGACCATCTGAAAGGGATAGAAGTCCTCAGATGGCTCAAATTGAATACCTGAAATAATTCCTAAGTATCCTAGAGTGTGGTACTGTGTTATCTAATTCCACTAGTGCCCACAGATGAGGTTCTGACAGTACTCAAGGTTGGAGATGGGCATGCAGTGCCTGAGCTCTGTGCAGTGGGATGGGGAGGACCCTAGGGGATAGGGCTGGATGTCCTGGGCTCAAGTTCTCTTTTCATCACCTTGCAGTGGTGCCACATTGGGGAAGTTACTTCTTTACCCCCTCAACATGCAATTAATTTCCTTAGATCTAAAACAGGGATGATAACAATACCTCCTTCACAGGGTTGTTGCAGTGACTTAATGAAATAAACCAAGTACCTAGTGCATCACAGATTGTACCCATTATTATTATATTGTGGCTTAAGTTGAACCAAAGGCCACAAGTCGGCTCCAATGATGGCAAACCTTAGTGATGGAGCCTAATTCTACATGACAGATTTGTTTATGACCAATATAGATGAATAGCTGTTCAGATTTGTAATGTCTCATTAGTTTATTTCAGAAGTAAAAACATAGTCTGTTAAGACCGAATGGTTTCAGGGAGAAGGATCTAACTTCCTAAGGGAAATAATAAAGGAGTCTGAAATGAAAAGAAGCCTGTGTTGGCCCCCCTGGGGAGTCAGATATGCTCTAGCTTATCAAAAATGCTCATTCAACCAGACAGAGAAAGGAGGATGGGTCCTAGGAAAGTTGATTTACGAGCCTAAAGAAAATACACCAGAAAAAGACCAAAAAAGTTCTCAACCTCACCTTCTATGAAACCCTTCAGTTGCTGTCTAATTTAGGTTTCTAACTGGGTTAGATGTGTGGGGTTTCTCAGTACCTTCCTAAACAGAACTTTCACAAAATTCTGTGCAAACCTAGCAAAACGAGATTGTAATCTCCCTTTTGGAGTGAACTTGTTTGACTTATTTTTTAAATTTCTCACAATGCCTTGTACTCAAAAGTTTCTCAATTCAGTTTTGATTGAATTGAATTAAAATTCCTCTGCCAAATTAGAATGGCGGGACTTAATTTGTGAGAGGAGTAAAAGGGTCACTTCTGGCTCTAATGGAGACTTGAGCCTGCATTTAGAGACCCGTTTTCAGCCCATGCAGTAGCAAACCCTCTGAGTTCATCAGAACCAACTGCCTTCCAGGATTTTAGGATTTCTTCAATTTATTCCCCCATTTCTGAAAGTGTTCCCTGTAGGAAAAACTAGATCCTAATCTAACTCTCATCTCTAAGCCTCAGAAATGTCTGGAATTCCCTTACAATATGGCTAGAGGATTAGGATTTCCAGAGATACATGAAGGGAAATTTTCAGGCGGGCTTTATTGGAACCACTCCTGCCAACAGGTCAAAGCATCCCTTATCACCTATCGCAATCCTATATCTCATTTTTTCCCTCTTGTACTGAGGCCAGAGCTGGCGAACCTGCAAAGCACATTCCTATTTCCTTACATTTTGGCTGCGTTTTATGTGATGCTTTCTATAGCTGCTGATGGTGGGGAAGTGGAGTTTCAAATGTTTGCATGGTTCTTTAAAATTTCACAGCTTTTTCATTTAGACTTTTTCTTAACACCCTCACAATCCAGGAGGTGGGCAATAGCCACCTTCTTGTGGAGTTGAGTAAACTGAGGCCCGAAGATGTTAGCATGTGTCCGGGCATTCCAAAGCAAACAGAAGTCAAATAGGCCCTGGTTCTTTGTTCTGTTTCCTCTGATGCCCCCAGTAATCACACAATAATATTAACGACTCAAACCATTACCAGAATTAAGTGCTCCTTGGTCTTGCCCATGAAATAACTGATAGGGTGTTGTCATATGCCTTGCATTTTGGAGCCTGACAGATTTAGGCCTGATCCCCAGCTCTCCACCTCATACTCATTGACCTTGACATCTTATTAGTCATCTGTAAAATGGGGCAATATTTACTTGGGGGTTGCCAGAAGGAAAAAAAGGAAGTATCACATCTAACACAGTGCTTGACCCCCTGTAGGCATTCAATAAAGAGTAGCTACAGTCATTCACAGCAGGTGAACTGTGTTTTCCCTACTCACTAGTTTGAATCTCTTCTTCCAGTCCACTTGTTTCCTAAAAACAGACTCCAGCCCTCCTCCCCACCCCACATGAAAAGGTCCTCCAAGACAATATTTCTCAGGGTTAGTGTGCATATGAGTCGCCGGAGCATCTTAAGATGCAGATTTTGAGTCAGTCTGGGAGGGCTTGCATTCCTAGCAAACTCTTGGGGGTTGTGAATGCTGCCAGTCCATAGGCCACACACTTTTGGTAGACAGTGTAACCAGTCAGCCAGACTTAGGGACTAGATTCTTCGGGACTGGTGGTTTTCAGACTTTGCAGATCATCATAATCATGTAGTGGATTTGTTAAAATACAAAATACTGTGCTCCACTCCAGTTTCTGATTCAGTAGGTCTGGGGTGAGACCAGAAAAATCTTCATTTCCAACAGGTTCAAAAGTGATACTAATGCTGTTGGTTTGAGGACTACACTTGTCCTAAGCTTAGCTGAGAGCTACTGAAAACCACACAGGAATTTAGTTCCTATTATTACTGACTTTTAGAAGGCGGTGGATTTCTTGAGGAAGCTCCGTCTAAATAAAGGCTCTCTCGTCTTCCCTCTCCACCCAGCCCCCCTTCAATAAGCCTGCCATGACATTAGCAGGGGCCCTTTACCTTGTAGACATTGATGGGGATGTCAATGATGATGTGCAGCAGGTCTCCCAGAGCCAGGCTGGCGATCAAGATATTGGGGCCGTTTCGCATGCACTTGTTCTTGTAGATTATTCTCAGCAGTGTGGAGTTCCCGATAATGCCCAACACGAACACGAGGCAGGACACAACCGTGTTGATGTATTTGAAAGTCCCTTTGATCTCGATGGTTCCTTGGCACCGGGGAGGGGAGAGGGTGCGTGGCGGGGCTCCTGCAGTCCGTCCTCCTTTAGGCACCCCCGCAGGTGCCAACGACCGCGGCAGACTGGTGTTGGAACTCCTGGGCCAGGAGGTCTTAGTGGGTGGCGTCATTATCTCTGTGGTTTGCAGAAGCGGAGTGGCCCCGGCAGGCGGGAATCCCCTCTCTTCTCCCCAGACCCCCACCACGCCGCAGGCAAGAACCAGCGCCACCAGGGCGCGTCCGCAGAGGCTTGGCGACGACTGCATGCTGCTGCTTACTCCAGCTGGCGTCCGGTGGCCGCTCCGCAATTTTCAGAGCCTGGAGACCGACAGTGGAAGGAAGAAAGAGGGAACACCTGGGTCAGCTACCGCAGCCACGCCTCTTCAAACGCTAGCTCGGAGCGTTGCCTCTTGGCTACAATCCGCGCGCCAAAGTAACTCAAGTTTGCGCGCAACTGGGGAACTTGGCGAGCGTATCTCGCCAGCGCCGATGGAATCTCCTTCCCGATTCCCTCTCCGGAGTTTTTCTTCCCTTGTCCCGCATGGGGCGGGGCATCTGGAAGGGGTGTCCGGGGGAGGGAATGTCTAAGCGCAAAGCTCTGAACTCTTCGGTGTGCCGGGAGGAAGACACACGTTTAGCTAAGGGTGTCCGAAGACTGCGTAATCAAGGCACCTAGCGGCCAAGGGCATATGTCAATCTGCATTTTGCGCCCCAGGGGAGCCCCAATGTCCCGCGACTGAATTCCAAGACTCCTCCTGACGGGTGGAAACCGCTGCTCCCCGGCTGGCTGCGCTACGGCTCCCCCTGCGCGGGGGCGCCGGAGGAATCGGAAACTCTCGGAGACATTAAGCCAGCATTAGCTGGGAAGCTTCTGTCCCCTCCAAGTGGTTTCAAACACTCACGCTCTTTCCTTTACCCCTACCCCATTTCAATTTGCTCTATCTCCAGGTTTTATTTTTTTAATTTTCAGTCCAGTAAGCCAAGTCAGAGCCCCAGGACAAGGTTCAACCAATGATTTTAATTCAACAGCAAGCCAGAATGTTTACCTCGCGGATCCGATGACCCGGGTGCAGAGTGACTAGCGGGGGGACCCTTCCCGGGACGCGGAGCCGGGGTCCAGCCTCCGCGGGGAGCAGAGCGCGCCTCCCCTCCGCGGCAGGCGGGCCTGGCTGTGACGAAAACACTGAGCGGACGCCAGACAATGTAGCCGCCACAGCCCGCTCGGGGTCTCTGCTTTCCCCACACAAGTACTTTTATTCATTCGTGTCCCTTCCCCATCAATCACCGCCAGACTCCTCCCGCGCCTGCCGACCGCGCGGCAACCTTTCCCCTGGGGCGACGCCTGGATAGCATCACAGGGCTTCCCGCGGGAGGGGCGGGTCCCCGGGAAGGGACGTGTCCCACGAGGTTGTTTGTTTGTTATGGTGCTAAGTTCTTCAAACGACGAGCCTAAACCAGGGCAAGTTAGCACGCCCCCGGTGACGCTCTGGCGCTCCAGACTAGGAGGAGAGGGCTCTGCATGGGACGTGTTAACCTGAACTTGTAATACTGCCGATGGTGACTTTTCTTTCAGATAAAGGTCCTACCGTGGTTTGGGGGAGCTGCTCTTTGCTCAGCTTTATTATGAAGTTTCATTTCGAGCCCACGTGGGCCCCAATAAGGGAGCTGATTCTTTTCTTCCCAGGCCCCTTCTTACTGCGCCAGAGAGAACTAAAAGTCCTCATTTTCTCTCATTTCTGGCTTTTCTTCTTTCTTCCTTCTGTAGGGTCACTGTCAGGCAATCTCAGAGATTTTTATACTCTACCTATGAGAGACCTGATATTTATTGTAGACATGAAAATAACCAGAGAGCTGCCATACACGTATAACATGGTATTCATTGACGAGGCAGAGCAATAAACTAAATTCTTCCTATTCATTCTTGAACTTCTTCTTCTTCTTCTTCTTTTTTTTTATGGCATAGAGGGAAATAACGGTGATGGTCAGTTTTGCCCAAAGATTGTATAAAAAAGAAGTCAGGAAGTCAGGCTGTGAGATATTAGGATAAAACTCTGCTGTCCTCTAGTCAGCGAAGTCCCCGCTGGATCTGTGAAATTTCAGCCCCAGAAGGATCCATTCCATGTAGCAGCTTCGCCTAGACTAGGTATCTCATGCTTGGCTTCATGCTAGTTAATGGCATAGAAGGGACACGAATCTTGGAATTTTGGCTCCTATGCAGGGTTTTCTGGGACAGTGGAAGCAGAAAATCAATTTCTATTTAAAAAGGTGAACTTTAAGTTTGAAATATGGTTAAGAATATGGTTGAGGAGTAAGGCTGAAGGAATGAGAAATATGGTCTATGCTAATTCCAAATCTGGCTATTTTGCATGCAGTCCTTACCCTCCATGTCTCAGTAAAAACAAGGTCAACAGTCAACTGCTTCCTAGCCGAGCCAAGTAACAATATAAAGCAGTTGTGGGAGTAAGAAATTATATGAGTACATTTGGAGTATGAATATTTATCTTAATTGGTTCCACTGAACGGTCCCTTCTTGCACAAACTTTCTTCCCTTCATGTGGTGGTGACTTTTCTTCCTCCCCACTTGGCCTCTCATCTTCATCACCATCTCCATTCTTATTTTCTCCATTGAGTCCTGAATGTATGTTCTAATCCTCACTGAGGTTTATCTCTTCCCTTGTCTCACAGCACTTTTTGACTGTTAACCACAACTTGGCACTTGATCACACAGAGACTTTTATAGGTCACTTTGATTTCATCTGAATTAATTCCTTTTTCAGGATAGGGACTGAATTCTGTGTTCTTTTTGTACCATCACAATACTTGCCTGAAGTGAAGCTCAGGAAGTATTTTTTAATAGATTGATAATTACATTTTACAGTATTTAGTAAGACTTTAGTAACTCTGGTCATAGGACTTAAGAACAAAGTCAAAAAATTTTAAGGTAAATATATACATTCTTCATTTGGAATTTCAAACATAGTATTGATAAGTTGTTATGACCTGCCACCTATATTGGGTACCTTATTCACAAGACCTCATTTACTCCTTTATAGCAGACTTCCAGTTCAGTTTTTTTTTTTTTAATGATTTATAAGTAGTGAAATGAGTCTCAGCAAGTCACTCAAGGTCACATGCCTAGTTAGCTGTGGGACCAGCATTTGGTGGTAGAATTTGAATCCGTATCTCTCTGTTTATACAAATTATGCTTTTGATTAATGCAATTACAAAAAGTCTAAAAAGATCTTTTAAAAAAATTTTGGGAAAACAGTGTTTTAGATATCAGTACTCTTTCATTGAAGTTTATCCTTCAGTGTTTCACTTTAAGATGTAAAAGCAACATGTAAAATGTAAAGATTTATTCTTTGATCCTCATGAATGGTCACTACCATGCCATAAGAAAGTCTTAGTTTCCCCTTTTGTAAAATGGAGGGAAAGGATTAGTTTCTTTTTGCTCTAATAAATCCTCTTGACTGGCAAACTAACTCTGTAAGAATGACCTAAAACCTAAAGTGCGTAAGAGTAAAAAAAAAAAAACTTAAACTAGTTTTTTTTTCTTTTTCTTTTTGTTACTCATGCTTTAGGCAATACTGCTAGGAATAAAGTTTTTTGGTTTTTTTTTGTCTTTTAAACTTATGACTTGAATTCTCTTATTGATATACTTTATTTATAAATTCTCCAGTAGTTTATTATGTACATTTCATTCTATATATGAGCAAAAAGCTGTATCAAATTTTAAGCATTCTTTCTTAAAAACTTGGGTGTAAATTAATTTCGCATTATGAAGGATCTTTTTTTTTTTTGCAAGGTAAATATGGAATCTTTCACAAAGTTTCTTTTATAAAAACATTTTTATGAAGTCTTCTAGGAAATCTATCAAAATTCCAGATTGGCTAAGATAACCTCTGAAAGTCAGAAAAGTGGTGATGGGCAATGTCCCACTATCTCCTTTAAGCGTTTTAACTAGAAGTTCCTAAAGAAGGGTTGAATGCAATTCAGAATTCATTCCTCAAAGAGGTTTGTCTTGGGGAGCTTGCCCCAAATAAACCTTTTCCCCTGGTAAAAGAACAAAGAAAAGCCCTTTTAGTCACAAAAAAAGTTAATACTTTCATGTAATCCCCTTGATATGAATGTACCCTTCAAAACCTACCTTGAATTCTCTAAATCATGAATGCTGAGGGACGAAGTGTGTGAAAAATAAAGAGAGAGTTAGTTCAATTGCTTCTCCACACATTCCCCTAGGATCAGATTCAATGATCAAATAGTGGTTGAAGCAAGAGCATAAAAAAGATTTAAAATGACTGCATAAATCAATAGCAAGCAGCATGAGCATTTCTATTTCTTGGATTTTCTCTCATATAAAGTGACTGTAGCTATCTGGGCTTCACAGTTAAGGTTCTTTTTAAAAATTAAGGTATAATTTATACACAGCTAATTGGACAAGGCTTACGTGCACAATTTGGATAGTTCTGACAAATATGTACAACCTTGTGACCCATACCTAAGGGGCTTTTTGAAAATGCATTTATTCTTCTAAAGTAGGAAAATTAGAATATTTTGAATTTAAATACTATTCCATTTAAAACTCTCATTATGACATAATTTCTGCTTAATCAACTTATACATATTATCAACTTCTGTAACTAAAACATGACTCATAAATTGGAAGTCTGCAATGAGAGAATCAGAGACTTGAAATTTTAGCAATGATTGCTTGATAGTGCCTAATTATAGTCCATGCCCCGAATGTAGCTAAAAATTGATAGCCTTAATAGTAATAGAAATAAGACTTAATTATTTTCTGCTTATAGAAAATATGAGAAACAAGTCTGGGAAAAGTAACATAGTTTAGCTCTTTAGGTTATCAACTACTTTAATTTAAAGGTAATAATTTTTTCTTCTGCTTGTAACTAGTAATTTTTATATTCCTTTCTTTGACATATATGTTTTTTTTACATCAGTGTCAGTAGAAGGAAAAAATTAGAATAACCTGGTTTACAAACTCCCTAAAACTGTTTAAAGAACTCTTTGGCACAACTTTAAAAATATATTATCAATTCCAATCTAAGCAGGTAGTCCAAACTTGACTTCTTGGTTTGTCAATACACACACTACTTATGGAAAGGATTCTAGGTCATTCAATAATGGAGAAAACACTATTATTACTCTATGTTATCCTATCATGTATAAGGCATTCTTTGGGGGCTGTTATTTTGTGGCATAATTTATGATGAATTTATGTATTTCCTCTAACTCGAATTGTTTTCTTTAATTTCCACCTTTCCTTGTTTTCATTCTTTTCACATCCAAATGGAGTGTCCAGAGATGTTAAATAATCAAAGGAAGTTAGAAAGAGAGAAGAAAGAGAAACCTGGAGCTTTAACTAACCACTGGTGAAAACAGGATTGTTGCTGGTTTTTTTAAAGAAAGAAAAAGTTATTTGTAGTACTGAATAAAGTATTCTAGGAAGCACCCCAAAAAAAAAAAATTTTCCAAAGCAGGCTTTTTTCCTTTTAATAATTAAATGGAAGTGCTTCAATCAAAATCTACTCCTTAAAAAGTTCCAATCATACTTTGAGATTTGGTTGTAGGAGAATAGAACTATTTGAAACAAAATTTAAAGGGAAACAGTGATTATCCTGAAAGTTTATTTACTATGTATTAGATGAGCAATTTGATCTCCAGCCTAATCTAAAATGAATAACTCAGAATTATGGCATACCTATGTCAAGGTGAGGGATCATCAGGCTTTTAAAGCCATTCCCAGTATCAAAAGGCGGCTTTTGCTTATTTCCCCTAGTAATGCAGGTACAGGAAATTGTCTCTTCTCTTTTGGCCCCTGCTAGAAATATTTATTGCTACCTGTGGAGAAAGTGGTTCAGAAATGGCTTTATCAACAGTGGATCATTCAAATAAGATTACGTCCACACTCTTACAGGAAATGCACAGGAGACTTACTCTGAGGGTAGCAGATGATGGAGACTAGCATTTGAGGAGACATGGCTCAGGTAGCAGGTATCAAGTAGCCTGCAGAAAGGTAGGTAGAGTATAGCAAATAGAATCCAAAGAATCCTTGAATTAATTGGTTAATCCTTTGAATAATTGATTAATCCTTTGAATATCTACACAGTTTATATGTTTTTATTGTGATAAAAAACGTACACTCTACCATATTAAGTATCTTTAAATATACAGTTCAATAGTGTTAAGTACATCTGCATTGTGCAAGAGATGTCAAGAACTTTTTCATCTTGCAAATCTAAA